GATAATATGTGTCCTAGTGATGATACAAACCGTCGATAATCTGTGTCCTAGTGATGATACAAACCGTTGATAATCTGTGTCCTAGTGATGATACAAACCGTCGTTAATCTGTGTCCTAGTGTCGATACAGACCATCAATATTCTGTGTCCTAGTGTCGATACCGACCGTCGCTAATCTGTGTCCTAGTGACGATACAGACCATCAATATTCTGTGTCCTAGTGACGATACAGACCATCAATATTCTGTGTCCTAGTGTCGATACCAACCATCGATAATCTGTGTCCTAGTGTCGATACTGACCATCGATAATCTGTCTCCTAGTGTCGATACCAACCATCGATAATCTGTGTCCTAGTGATGATACCAACCATCGATAATCTGTCTCTTAGTGTCGATACCGACCATCAATAATCTATGTCCTAGTGACGATACAACCGTCGATAATCTATGTCCTAGGAAGGATACACCCGTCGATAATCTGTGTCCTAGTGACGATACAAACCGGCGTTAATCTGTGTCCTAGTGCCGATACAAACCGTCGTTAATCTGTGTCCTAGTTACGATACAAACCGTCGTTAATCTGTGTCGTAGTGACGATACAAACCGTCGTTAATCTATGTCCTAGTGGCGATACAACCGTCGATAATCTATGTCCAAGTGATGATACAAACCGTCGATAATCTGAGTCCTAGTGATGATACTAGTGACGATACAACCCGTCGTTAATCTGTGTCCTAGTGTCGATACCGACCGTCGCTAATCTGTGTCCTAGTGACGATACAAACCGTCTTTAATCTGTGTCCTAGTGACGATACCAACCGTCGTTAATCTGTGTCCTAGTGTCGATACAGACCATCAATATTCTGTGTCCTAGTGACGATACAGACCATCGATAATCTGAGTCCTAGTGACGATACAAACCGTCGTTAATCTATGTCCTAGTGGCGATACAACCGTCGATAATCTATGTCCTAGGGACGATACAACCGTCGATAATCTATGTCCTAGTGACTAGTGACGATACAGACCATCGTTAATCTGTGTCCTAGTGACGATACAAACCGTCGTTAATCTGTTTCCTAGTGATGATACAAACCATCGTTAATCTATGTCCTAGTGACGATACAAACCGTCGTTAATCTATGTCCTAGTGACGATACAAACCGTCGTTAATCTGTGTCCTAGTGACGATACAAACCCTCGTTAATCTATGCCCTAGTGACGATACAACCGTCGATAATCTATGTCCTAGTGATGATACAAACCGTCTTTAATCTGTGTCCTAGTGACGATACAACCGTCGATAATCTATGTCCAAGTGATGATACAAACCGTCGATAATCTATGTCCTAGTGATGATACAAACCGTCGTTAATCTATGATACAAACCGTCGTTAATCTGAGTCCTATTGACGATACAAACCGTCCATAATCTATGTCCTAGTGACGATACAAACCATCGATAATCTGTGTCCTAGTGACGATACAAACCTCTGAGTCCTAGTGATGATACAAACCGTCGATAATCTGAGTCCTAGTGTGTCCTAGTGACGATACAAACCGTCGTGAATCTTTGTCCTAGTGACGATACAGACCATCGTTAATCTGTGGCCTAGTGACGATACAAACCGTCGTTAATCTATGTGCTAGTGACGATACAAACCGTCGATAATCTATGTCCTAGTGATGATACAAACCGTCGATAATCTGAGTCCTAGTGATGATACTAGTGACGATACAAACCGTCGTTAATCTGTTTCCTAGTGACGATACAAACCGTCGTTAATCTATGTCCTAGTTACGATACAACCGTCGATAATCTATGTCCTAGTGATGATACAAACCGTCTTTAATCTGTGTCCTAGTGACGATACAAACCGTCTTTAATCTGTGTCCTAGTGACGATACAAACGTCGATAATCTATGTCCAAGTGATGATACAAACCGTCGTTAATCTGTGTCCTAGTGATGATACAAACTAGTGACGATACAAACCGTCGTTAATCTATGTGTTAATCTGTTTCCTAGTGATGATACAAACCATCGTTAATCTATGTCCTAGTGACGATACAACCGTCGATAATCTATGTCCCAGTGATGATACAAACCGTCGTTAATCTATGTCCTAGTGATGATACAAACCGTCTTTAATCTGTGTCCTAGTGACGATACAACCGTCGATAATCTATGTCCTAGTGATGATACAAACCGTCTTTAATCTGTGTCCTAGTGACGATACAACCGTCGATAATCTATTTCCTTGTGATGATACAAACCGTCCTTAATCTGTGTCCTAGTGACGATACAAACCGTCTTTAATCTGTGTCCTAGTGACGATACAAACCGGCGTTAATCTGTGTCCTAGTGACGATACAAACCGGCGTTAATCTGTGTCCTAGTGACGATACAACCCGTCGTTAATCTGTGTCCTAGTGACGATCCAAACCGTCGATAATCTATGTCCTAGTGATGATTCAAACCGTCGATAATCTATGTCCTAGTGACAATACAAACCGTCGTTAATCTGTGTCCTAGTGATGATACAAAACGTCGATAATCTGTGTCCTAGTGACGATACAAACCGTTGATAATCTATGTCCTAGTGACGATACAAAATACAAACCGTCGTTAATCTGTGTCCTACTGACGATACAAACCGTCGTTAATCTGTGTCCTCGTGATGATACAAACCGTCGATAATCTGAGTCCTAGTGACGATACAAACCGTCGTTAATTAGTGTCCTAGTGACGATACAGACCATCGTTAATCTGTGTCCTAGTGACGATCCAAACCGTCGATAATCTATGTCCTAGTGATGATACAAACCGTCTTTAATCTGTGTCCTAGTGACGATACAAACCGGCGTTAATCTGTGTCCTAGTGACGATACAACCGTCGATAATCTGTGTCCTAGTGACGATACAAACCGTCTTTAATCTGTGTCCTAGTGACGATACAACCCGTCGTTAATCTGTGTCCTAGTGACGATACAACCCGTCGTTAATCTGTGTCCTAGTGACGATCCAAACCGTCGATAATCTATGTCCTAGTGACAATACAAACCGTCGTTAATCTATGTCCTAGTGATGATACAAACCGTCGTTAATCTGGGTCCTAGTGACGATACAAACCGTCGTTAATTAGTGTCCTAGTGACGATACAGACCATCGTTAATCTGTGTCCTAGTGACGATCCAAACCGTCGATAATCTATGTCCTAGTGATGATACAAACCGTCGATAATCTGAGTCCTAGTGACGATACAAACCGTCGTTAATCTGTGTCCTAGTGATGATACAAACCGTCGATAATCTGAGTCCTAGTGATGATACAAACCGTCGTTAATCTGAGTCCTAGTGATGATACAAACCGTCGTTAATCTGTGTCCTAGTGATGATACAAACCGGCGATAATCTGAGTCCTAGTGATGATACTAGTGACGATACAAACCGTCGTTAATCTATGTCCTACTGACGATACAAACCGTCGTTAATCTGTGTCCTAGTGATGATACAAACCATCGTTAATCTATGTCCTAGGGACGATACAAACCGTCGTTAATCTGTGTCCTAGTAACGATACAAACCGTCGTTAATCTGTGTCCTAGTGACGATACAGACCATCGATAACGTGTGTCCTAGTGATGATACCAACCATCGATAATCTGTCTCCTAGTGTCGATACCGACCATCGATAATCTGTGTCCTAGTGATGATACAAACCATCGTTAATCTGTGTCTTAGTTACGATACAGACCATCAATAATCTGTGTCCTAGTGTCGATACTGACCATTTTCACAATACTTATTTTTGCTCGTATGACACTTTAATATCTATAAGAATATGACAACTGGCTGATTTCGTTATCGGTCTCAGTGTTGAGTTTTTGCTTTAGGTTTATATGGCCATGTATAAATTCCCACAGATGTTCTTCGTGTCATGTGTTTAACTCGACATACGTGTAAAGCTGTTCAAGTGGAGATGATTTGGTTGTGGCGAATCAATATGTAATTAGTAAAGAACTGCTCGGCCCCGGGGCGCCTGACACCGCTTTCTCACGCGCTATTACTCAGTCCGAAAGGGTAAACACATCTCTGATTGATCACTGAGGAAATCATCACTGTTGGGTTAGGTCGATACAAATTCACTAAAATAACTATTTCTTGGTCCAAGATGGTTTTCTAAAATTTCATTTTATGATAATCTTAAACAAAAGGTCCGATAAAAAATACTAAAACCTTGAAACTAACGATTTCTTGTAAGTTAATGTTGAGCGTGACAATGAAAAATGTACTTCAATTTTTAGTGGTTTCTTTTTTCTAGAGAATGAATTCAAAGAAACTTGTGAACGGAGAATACTAAGCAAAGGTAGTGATCATGGAGACCGCTATTTTTGCCGCGATTTATATTGCAAAATGTATATACGCCTATCAAAAGTGTTGACGTGGCGCGTTTTGAGTGCGTCTGTCAGTTCATTCATTCGCCCATGCGCCCACACTTTGGTTTTCATGGGGATGTGAAAGACATTCGATTATAAAATTTTGAAATACGCTAAGCATGTACAATATACTAAGACTAATGTTAAGTTCGGAGCTGAGCAAACTCCATGCGTAATCAATTGGCATAATACTCTGATTGGTTTGCATAATAACTTAATACAATATGGTCAGATTCCTATGAAACTTGTTCAATAATAATACATATTATAAATACATATATTATAAAAAGGCATACTAAATTTGAAGCAAAACCAAGTTGACGTATGGCATTGTTAGTGGAGGGTCTGATCGATGTCAGTGTGTATGATATGCTTGAGAAATACTTAAGGAGTTTTGTGACGTTGTAGAAACGTTAGCTTTACGCCAGACTTGGGTCTCGTCAAGTTTCCTGAGTCTCCAGCAAACTGTCAACATGTATATTAATCTTTCAATTGATCAAGTGTTTCATGATCTATAATCCACATGTTTGTTAATGTTTGATATTTTCTTTTCTTTGCAGATGTAATAGAATGTCTACTGAGACGCATCGCTATAACGACCATGTAGTACGTCCAATCAAAGCACTTCTTCCAGCAACTCCTTCGACCAATCTTGTCGCAGCTGGCACATCTTCCTCTCCTAGTAGTTCACTGATTTCTCGGAAGTTACAACCAAAAATACAAAAGTCTGCTTCACTCAAAGACCTCTTCTTTAAAAAGAACTCAACAGAGGCCAAGCCCGCTACATCCCCTGCACAGCCTAGAACTAAGATTGCAGACCTTGTTCAGAGACATCTCATTCCGCTTAATATCATCAGCTCTTTCAAAGCCAACAGGAGAAACCTAAACGGAAGTACGTCGTGCCAAAAGCTAGTCGCTAAAGAGGGTAGTGAATCTATAACTGAGAAGGAGAACTTCACTGAAGTGCAATATTTGTCCATACCTGACAACACAACAGATACATCCATTCCACAGACGAATATATTTAACAAAACTGACATATTATTTACAACTTCTTTTACCCATTCGGTGGACAAGTCGATCGACTGTCAGTCCTGTGGTACTGAAGCAAACAAGGCAGCCAAACCACGTCTAACGCGGAGTAAGAGTAGGAGTGCCCAGAGCCTACATAGAATTCCACAATTGGGCGCGGTAAAACAAACCCTCACACGAAGCTATTCGGACGTTCCGCCCAACTCTAAGCTTGCTCTGGTTCATAGCAGTAGTAGCAGTCTGTCGGAGCACCTGCAGTCCAGGATGTACCGGAACGATTTCGTATCGCAGCTTCTGGACCATTTGTTTATAGGGAGTGTGGAGGCGGCCTATAATGAACCGTTACTTTGTCGGCTTAAAATTGACTGTGTACTCGACATTAGTAACTGCGCAGCTGCAGATGTGCCCTCCTCAAAGAAGCTTCATTGCCCCTGTATATGCCCCAAGGAGAACCAGCATTTCCGATCTCGGCTTATCATTCAGGTAGAGGACAGAGACACGGAGGATATTGAGGCCTATTTCCCCGAGATCAACAAGTTTATCGTTGCTGCTAGACATCGCGGGAAGCGCGTGCTTGTGTTCAGCTACCATGGTAAGTCCCGTGCAGCCGCCGCCGCGATCCAGTACATGATGAGCCAGGAGAACCTTCTCCTGCGGCAGGCCTTCAACTTGGTTAAGAACCAGCGGCCGTGTGTTGACATTATCCCGGCCTTCATGGCCAAGCTGGAGGCTCTGGAGAGGAAGCTCTTTCCGGACGCCAAGCCGTCCATCTCATTTGGCAATGAGTATCTGAATATCGCCGACCCACAGGCTATCCGTTGTGCCTGGGTGGACTGTGCTGATATTTGAATGTATAATGACGCTCAACCCGGATATATCGTACTTATATACAGCACCACATTAGATCTGTGAACATCGGGTTTTCAGCAGATTAAGTCACTTACAAAAGCTAGCAAAATGTGAAGTTTTTGATGTGTTTTTTATTATCCGGCCACCATGTTAGACTTCATTGCACTAGATTTGAATGTTAGACCATTTTTATCATCTGAGACAATTTATCCTTGATACTATGAATGTTGACTTTCATTCAATGTGTGTTGTGATTATGTTGAACGTGTAGATCCGTTAAATGATGTATATCTGGATTTACGTATGATATACTTCACAGATGTCGACCAGTGCCATTAGAAGCTTGCCTGAATCACCTGCCGAAATTTAACGACATCGTCTATTTCGACAACTCTCAATGTTATCCGATCCTTCATGAAGATTATATAGTTGACTATTGTACTTCTTTGTGTTGTATAGTTATTTGGAACACTCATAATGAAAACTTCAGCAAACATGTACTGACTATCAGAGTTGTCGTTCCTTACACTTACACCTCTGCCAACGTCTCATTACAGACACAGGGACCTGATAATTTGTTACAGCTATATTTGGACCTGAACTAAGATGTTCAGAGTAAGTTTACACGTTTTAGGGGTTTAGATCGACTTTCGGTAAAACTGACACCCCTAATACCTTCATCATTGGGGGTGTCATTTTCCCCGAAAGTCGATTTAAACCCCTAAAACATGTAAAATTACTCTGAACACCTTAGTTCAGGTCCAAATACACGTGTAAAGTTGTAACAAATTACCAGGTCCCTGTTATTGCAGAGTATTGTTAAACGGCCAAATAAGCATATTCTTCTCACAATGTAATTACAAACGTTTTATCTAGCGAGGTTAATAATGCTGAATTGCTACACTTAATTATCCTATAGATTAATGTACAAACTATTTCGAAACCAGTATACCCACCAATCAAATGTTATAAATGTAAGCAACAAAGAAAGAGAAGCGATTGAGGAGACAATACACGAGTTGGGAGAATTTACAATTACTAACCTTTGTAGGTTAATAAAGGGTTTGTCGGCCTCGGGCCACAGACAGACGATGCCACACAGCCTCGGCATTCGGCTAATAATAACAATAACAATATCTCGTTTCTGAGGTTGACAATCTCCCACTTTAATTTTACACAAAGGCACTATTTGAAAAAACAAAAGGTGATTGTAATTGATTTATTTCTGAAACAATTTTAGATGCTTTTACCATGCAGTGCTTTGTTATCAATCTGCTCAAGTTTTTTAGCTGAGTCTCTTTCAAGACCATTTTCACATACATGGTCTCTCGTAAAACCCTAACAGATTTTTTGTTGCACGCTGTTTTGTTTTTTGACATCTTTGTCAATCAGAATTGATTCGTCATCATTGACACTCGCAAACCGAGCTTTTTGCCTGTCGTCTGCCATATTTGTTTACAATGTCTGAACCCGACGATCAGAAATCTGGGCCTGTTTTCATGAACCCGTTCTCATGCGCAAACATGCATTTTGTGCTGAAGCCTATACTTTCTTGTTCTGGTTATAAGTTAATGAAAAAACAATTAAAAAAAAAACCTATTCGGGCCATGTCTGCGCATCCAGTCAAGACACAACTTGCCGCCTCCGTGGTGTCAGAGGTGGCCTGATATAAGGTTGGCGCGCAATGATTCTCTCGGCACGCAAGCGGTTCCTGGCAGTTTGAGGACTAATGGGTCTGCCATGAGTTCCTAAGGTATGCGACGCAGTCTCTACAGCAGTCTTGAATCTGTTGCGCAAGTGCGACAATCAAATCGCCCTGTCTTGTCGTGCGGTCGTTACACGCGGATGACCGCTCCTGGGACGATCGGAAACTAACAGGATTTTACAATAATGTTCACTTGTTTCTCCATGTTTAGTGAATTATCAAAGTATAACCCTAGATTTTGAACAGCTGGGACAGTCTCAATAGTTCTGGCACCGACCTTGAGCTGGAGAGCCATTGCTTGCTGACACTTTGGGGAAAGGACGATTAGTTTTGTCTTTTCCATATTAAGCTTAAGCATGTTGGCGTTCATCCAGATGCTGATACCTGTCAGACAAGCTTCCAGATTATTTTTTTGTCTTTGACATTTTTTTATTGCGTCAGTCACGTAAGTGCATTACATGTTTAGAAAGGTTCCTGGAGAAGAAATACAATATAAACGAGTAGTTAAGTACTAGTAGTTCATTCTAGAAGCTTGATACTTTCCCCATTTTTGCCGGGTCTTGTTCGCTGCATTTTGAGACATGATGTAGACAGAATAAAGGTATAAATTTCTATATTTTTTTATAAATATTTTACAACTTTCCCAGTCAGGGATTTTGTGGTATTGTCGCATTAAAGATATATATATTTTAATCAGTAATATGCATATGTTTAAACCCGTCAGTTGAACATTGTCAATGATGCCGAAAAGGAAAGTAGCATTTTTTTTTTCTAAAACAATATCATACTTTTGTAAAACCGAGTTAATAAAACATGTCCAGAGCGATTGACTATGTGTACAACCCCCAAAAAGGTGATATATTGTTTCTGATTCTCCACTACAAAAGCTTCATTCTTCATGTTCTAATAGTTTTCACTTCAGTAGCATGGAATTTGTGAAAAAGATTCTGTGAATGAATCTGTATTGTAAACTTTGTAATTTCGAGTCTTTTGTCTCGTAAAAAGGACATGAGTGAATTTTTCCCCATTCGTCTTGGTTCAGAGAAATATCTAAGATAGTGTGCCAACTTTCATGGGATTGTTGCGGATAAATCAATACAGTAGACATGATTTTATTATATTTTTTTTTATTATAAAAATATTTTCAAGCTTCCAGATTTTCTGAAATTGTATCCGAACTGTCCTGTGGTTTGATGACCATGTAAATTTGTGTGTCATCAGCATAGCAATTATAGCGAAGGCTATGGCGACGACAAATCTCTCCGATCGGTTTGGAAGCTCCCCAACTATTTCAATATACCATCTTAGTTGGGTTCACAAGTTCTTAGAAAATATCAGATAGCAGTAGTAGAGCGTCCAACTTCGTGCTTCGAAACGTGTTATTAGGCTTGAATATCTACCATAGCCTGGAACTAGGAATAGTGACCTGTAACAGTCCCTCCCTACAAAGTTATCCTAGTTTCTTATAAATTAAGATCGAGTATTCCATTTTTGGTAGCACCAAACAATCTGAACAGCAGTCGTTCAGATTAAACAGAACCATATTGATGCTCATTAAGTGAGCAAGATCGTACTCATAAGCATATATGTACACGTGTCGGTATTCTAATAAGAATGTCGTTTCCAGTAAAGCGTGTTAAACCCTATGTAAGACCACCTAGTCTACCTCGGCTTCCTGTGACGTAGTAGCTCGTTCTACTGCAGGTCTTTGATAAATATAAAAAAACAGACGCGAGTCCAAATCGCTCCCCGAGGAACCCAGCGTTCAATGTTCGACCACTGATGGCGCTCGATTAATCACTAACCGTTGTTTTCCCTCAGATAAACAGGCTGTATTTCCAGTAATTTAAACTTTTATTGTACGTACATTATAGTGTTTAACAGATATTGGAGGTCCTAGTAAATCACTTATTGATGTCAAAGTGTTGTCTTCCAATTCTGATGGTATGGTCATTCGCGAAGTACATGTACAACTTATATAAACTCAAGCTATTCCCAGACTTGTGCTCTGTATTTCATATTCTTGTCAAGTAAAGTTTCTGATAACGAGTACAAATGCATTTAATATCAATAAATATCAAACAAGAGAATCCTGCAAATTTCAAATTGACGTGAAAGTCTTGCACTCAAACCCTTGTAAAAGAACAAGAGTTCCGGGTGTGTAAGCGTCTTTTTCTTCAACTATGACATCCGACTGATACTTCTACGACTACGTCTACCAAACAATCGACCTACTTCATCATATTGAAGATTATGTCAATGTAGGGTCGTGAGAGTGTGTGCATGGCTAAAAATGAAGTGTAGTCGTGTGTATGAAATACTAATGATTTTGAGAGCGAGTTTTTGGTTTAATAGGTGTCGAAGGATTCTGTAGTTACCAGGTCAGGAGGCAATTCATTCCCCTCTGGGGTAGTTCTAGGAAAGAAAGAGAATTTACGACAGTCATCTTTATAGTGAGGAATCTGATAGGAGAGATGATCGGATTGTCTGGATTGTCGTAACTGTGGTGTTACGTGGAGGTCTTTATTGATGGTAATTTTATTGTGTGATATTTTATACATCATAGTAAGACGGGCGTCCTTACGTCTATCAGCGAGGCTGGGCCAGTTTAGAGGTTGTTATGGTAGCGGTTAGTGACAAGTCTTGCAGCTCTACGCTGTACCATACCAAGCTTGTTTATATCACCTTTTTGGTAAGGATCCCACACACAACTAGCATATTCTAAAGATGGTCGCACTAGAGATTTATATACTTGTTCTTTAATATTGTTCAAGTCGAATCAAAGTGATGTTACCAGAATAGTGACAATGGCGTAATAAATTATCTTACAATCGTTCATCGATGATACCCGTCATCCATGCATTATCTTTAATCTTCAAAACCTCCTGCATTTGCTTCTTCGTGTAGCTGAACAAGCGTTAGGGGTTTGGCTGTTTCAAATATGGCGTTTATTGTGGCGGCGATGATTTCAACAATAATTTCGTTTTTTCTGTTAATATGACGAGTCTTTCGGCCACGGACATATTGTCCCTTTTTCACTTCATTCTGGAAATTGCCCTTTGTGAACTACCCAAAAGACTATGTATTCCCGCGGTGACATTCACACCGAGTCTGACCTGCTATATGGGCATGGTTAGGTCGGCAACGTCAATTTTGTGTTGAATTTATTCGTATCCATCCATCTTGCCTCCATAAAGTCTGCTTTGTTCTTCGGTGCTATTGCCACCCTATTGTAACGCCGAAGTTGTATATAGCTGTTTATCTAGCTACTAAGGTGGATGAGCTTGCTAGTCGGCAAGCGCTCGTGTTTCTATTCCTAGTGCCAATTAGGCTTCACTCTGGTAGTTATCTACGATATACTCATTAGGCTGTTGATTTCCAGTACTTCCTATAGCATAGGTAACGAATTAGACTATGAGCAAGTGTGTTATATTTCACATCTAGAACTGGTCACGTGATGTGTCGTCTGTGAGATTGCATTCTGTGTGTGACTGGCGATCAGTTGCATGGGCTGTATTTCAGAATATTCGGCGATGTGTATGGACAGCTTTGGAAACACGTCCACCTTAACAACCGTGTATGTAAACAAACGATTTACAAGCTCTCTATATGCCCATACTCCCAACAAAGTCCCCACACATCGCCGAACATTTTGAACACAAACGTCTGATAATTCATCTCTGTATTTTAGTGCGACTCTTTCCTGATGTTTGCAAAGTATTACTGAATACAGCCATCTACCTACGATTTCTACCCAACCCCACCCCCCGAAAACCGAAAAACACCAGTAGGGTATCACACGTGGTTAATCTTAATGATTAGATTACACAGAAAAGATGTATGCAATTACTGGCCATTATTTGTTCGTAAAATTTCTCCTTCACTGGTCTAAACACAGCAGTTTAACAACTCGATGGAGTATAATAACAGGTTGGAGCATATATGTACATACTTATATGAGTTCTAGTCATGATCACTACGTTGTTAAGGTGCCAAAGCCTCAATATTTCTATTTAACTACCTCCTGTTTGAACCATATGATTTTATGTAAGAAAATAAGTGTCTATAATATTACCATCTGTCAAAGTGGAAACTTCACAGTGTAAAACGTGTAAGATGATAAAAGTGCTGTATCAACATATAACCCCGGAGCAAACGTGGTCAACAGCATATTTATTTGTCATATGATATATCTCCAATCTCTCATTCCCATCCCTCTGTCACTAGTCAAGCAGATCACCTTACACACACCGTAAATATCTTACAGTAACGCATGGTAGCTCATCCAAACCTCACAAACCATTCACACACATTTAATGGGCATTACACATGATTCCATATACTCAGGTGAAAAAGTCATTTCCTGGAACACAAACAACACACATACAGTCGTTGTCACAGGAGTGGTCGCCTTCCCTATACGTCTAACCCTCCTCTACACCTGTACCCGGGCCTTCCCTATACGTATGGTAGACCTCTACACCTGTACCCAGTAAAACTCAGGCTATCTTGGTGACTGTAAGTACGGTGAAGTCGATGTAATTTATATAAGGGAGAGACTTGATATCCTGATCAAGTACATTAATCACTGAGGGACACAACATACCATCCTCATACTTGTAACCAGCACAGTGTATGCTATACTTGGTTGTAACGTTTCAGTGAAAGTCTGGGAGCAATGTTCATGGACTGCAGCTCCTGGAACAGTAGTTTACATGCGTAGGGGATCTTGAGCGTTGATACGTGGCGTGAGGACTTGCAGTACTGACACCAGCCGGAATACCCCAGAAGACCACACTCCCCACATACGTCAACCTTAAACTCGTCACTGGATATCATCAGCCGCTCCAACAGTAGCATGCTGTAACAAACAGATATCTGGCATATAGCATGCTGTAACAAACAGATATCTGGCATATAGCATGCTGTAACAAACAGATATCTGACATATAGCATCCTGTAACACCAGCTCTCTGACATATAGCATACTGTAACACTAGCT